GACTGCCAACCGTCAGCCCAAAGCGGAATCGAGAGGTTTTTCCCATGTCTCTCTTCTTCCTGCACGAGAGAACCCTAGAAGCAGCAAGATGCGTTCAGGGGCCCAGAGAGGGCCAAAGGCGTCCTCTCGATCCTCGAGCCTCTTTCCTCGGAGCCTCCCCGCTCGGCCAGGAGTGGGCAAGGGAGACGGGCGACGGACGGTTAGCGATCACCTGCTGGCGAAGCCTACCCTTGCGGGTCCAATCGGCCATAGGGTATCGGACGCCCCCGCTGGGGCTCATCTGGCCGCAGGATCCTTCGAGCTCAGAGCCCCAGCTGCGGAATGGATGGGCTCCCAGCGAAGTCCGAGATCGACAGATCAAGGTGTCCCAGGATTTCTCAGGGCTGGACCTAAACAGTGTTTTGGTGATTGCGTGGGCCGTTTTCGTCTCGACTTCGTTTGCAGCAAAGGCAGACTGAAGACAAAACGAGGGACAGCGAAAGCAAACCGAACACGACAAACACGGTGTAGCTCGAGCCCTGGAATTTCTTACATCACGATCTCTTAACGTATGCACCCGCTGCGTTCGCCCCCCCCGACGGGCCCCAAAATATGCCCACATTTTTCCGCCCCCTGAGGTCCTATGGGAGGCCGGCCCCACCCACGGCGGTGGACACGCGTGCCAGCCCTGGCCTCGCACCGTCAGAGGTCCTCGGACCTCGATCCTGAGGTCCGCGGGCCTCGATCCCGGAGGTCCGCTGGCCATCCAGAGGGCCCGGGTCTGATCGTCGTGGTCGTGGTCGTGGTCGTGGTCATGGTCGTCATGGTCGTGGTCATGGTCGTGGTCGTGGTCGTGGTCGTGGTCGTGGTCGTGGTCGTCGTCGTCGTCGTCGTCGTCGTCGTCGTCGTCGTCGTCGTCGTCGTCGTCGTCGTCGTCGTCGTCGTCGTCGTCGTCGGGGGGGGGCGGGGCAGAAACAGCCGCAGCGAGGTCTGCCGAAAAGAGGCCCTGAAGGGGCCCTGTCGGGCCCAGAAGGAGGCCTGCAGGGCACGAGAAGTGCACCTCTCTCCGCCCCCCCCCCGTTTATCGCCCGCTCATGCAGTGACGCCCACAGAAACAGCCAGCACGGACCCTTCAGAGGGCAGCCCACAAGGAGGCCCGGGCCGCTCGCCTTCCTGGGCGCGGGCGGGCCGCCCTTCCCCGCCCCCCCCCCCTGGGAGGGTTCCTGCTGCGTGGTTGCTCCGGGGGGCTCCTCGGCCCTCGGGGTGGCTCGGCGGGGCAGCGGCTCGGCACGGGCAAGTCGCACAACAAGGTTGCGCGGTAAAGATGCGCTGTAACAACTACAGTGGGGCCGAGGTACAATCATCGAGGTCGGCTCGGGGAGGGTGCCCTCGTGTTCTTCGTGCTTGTTGGATGTTCTGGTGCGTCCTGGGGGAGGGCACCCTTGGATGTTCTGTGCGTTTTGGGCCGGCGGAGGGTCTCGTGTTTTTAAGGGGTGTTTTTCTGGCTTAGGTCCGCTTGTAAATATACCTACCAGACCACTCCAACTCAACCTGAGGACCCAAATTTCGTGTTGGGGGGGGGGGTACGGGTTCCACGTGTGTTTTTTCCATGTTCCCCGACGCCCCCCCCCTCCCCAACTGGGAATGGAGGGCAAACTTCGGGCCTTCGGGATGGGTTGGCATGTTGGCGTTTTCGAAAGGAGCTGGCCAGCGAAAGTCGCCAAGGATGGGCAAACGGGCAAGGGTGCAAGGGTAGCAGTGGGAAGTCGCTCATCCTTACTGTGCGACTTGACTGTGATCTTCCTGAACCGAAGGCGATGTTTCTCCCCCACTCCCGGATGCCCGCTCGCAAACTTGGGTCATTCAGAAATGGGGAGGGAACTTTGGGATACGCCCCCATGTGGCTGTCCAGACGCACCGCTATCAAGGATGGACCCCCCGCCATCGCACATCCCCGAGCTGGGCCCAACACCTTGCATCCCACAGAGTCTGGGATTGGGGCCGTCATTCTTTTTGTTAATATTAAGTCGGGCATGTCCCTCTACATGAGGAGTATTCAAAAATAGTTAAGCAATAGTCAGGAGACGATTTACGATTATTTCTCCCAGCCATCCTGTGGTGTTGGGTCTTCGTTCTGAAGAGACGGTCCCCGCGTTCCCTCATCCTCCTCCCGCTGCCCCCTCCCTTTTCTCATCAGCATCATCGTTATCACCCGTTTCAGCACTCACCTCACACGTTTCGTGGCCTCGTAAGTAGCTCCACCGATGGCCCCAGCGCCACCGTCCACATGCATCCGCCACACCCATTTCGGCACACCCCTCACACGTTTCATGGCCCCATAGGGAGCCCCACCAACGGCCCCAGTAGCACCGTCCACATGCGTCCGCTACACCCATGTCGGCACACCCATCACACGTTTCGTAGCCCCCTAGGGAGTTCCACCGAAGGCCCCAGCGCCACCGTCCACATGCGTCCGCCACACCCATGTCGGCACACCCCTCACACGTTCCGTGGCCCCATAGGGAGCTCCAGCAAAGGCCCCAGTAGCACCGTCCACATGCGTCCGCCACACCAATTTCGGCACACCCCTCACATGTTTCGTGGTCCCTTAGGGAGCTCCACCGAAGGCCCCAGTGGCTCCTTTCACATGCGTTCGCCACACCCATGTCGGTACACCCCTCACACGTTTCGTGACCCCATACGGAGCTCCATCGAAGGCCCCAGTGGCACCCACCGTCCACATGCGTCCACCACACCCATTCTGGTACACCACTCACATGTTTCGCGGCCCCATAGGGAGCTCCACCCAAGGCCCCAGCGCCACCGTCCACATGCGTCCGCCACACCAATTCCGGCACACCCCTCAAATGTTTCGTGGTCCCTTAGGGAGCTCCACCGAAGGCCCCATTGGCACCTTTCACATGCGTCCACCACACCGATTTCGGTACACCCCTCACACGTTTCGTGACCCCATACGGAGCTCCATCCCAGGCCCCAGTGGCACCCACCGTCCACATGCGCCCGCCACACGTATTTCGGCACACCCTTCACATGTTTCGTGGCCCCATAGGGAGCTTCACCCAATGACCCAGAGGCACCGTCCACATGCGTCCGCCACACCTATTTCGGCACACCTCTCACATTTCGTGGCCCCAAAGGGAACTCCACCGAAGGCCCCAGAGGCACCGTCCACATGCGCCCGCCACACCCATTTCTGTACACCCCTCAAACGTTTCGTGGTCCGGTGAGGAGCTCCACCCCAGGCCCCAGTGGCACCGTCCACATGCGTCCGCCACACCCATTTCGGCACATCCCTCACACGATTCGTGGCCCCACAGGGAGCTACACCGAAGGCCCCAGACGCACCGTCCACATGCGTCCGCCACCCATTCTGGCACACCACTCACATGTTTCGCGGCCCCATAGGGAGCTCCACCCAAGGCCCCAGCGCCACCGTCCACATGCATCCGCCGCACCCATTTCGGCACACCCCTCACACGTTTCATGGCCCCATAGGAAGCCCCACCAACGGCCCCAGTAGCACCGTCCACATGCGTCCGCTACACCCATGTCGGCACACCCCTCACACGTTTCGTAGCCCCCTAGGGAGCTCCACCGAAGGCCCCAGCGCCACCGTCCACATGCGTCCGCCACACCCATGTCGGCACACCCTTTACATGTTTCGTGGTCCCTTAGGGAGCTCCACCCAAGGCCCCAGTGGCACCGTCCACATGCGTCCGCCACACCCATGGCGGCACACACCTCGCACGTTTCGCGGCCCCATACAGAGCTCCACCGAAGGCCGCAGTGTCACCGTCCACATGCGTCCGCCACACCCATTCTGATACACCCCTCACACGATTCGTGGCCCCATGGGGAGCTTCACCGAAGGCCCCGGCTCGGGCCTCCTTCCCTCTCCCTCCCCTTCCGCGGCCGTCTTTGCTTGCCCGCCTGCTCTGGGTGCGAGTGCGCCCAGTGCCCGGGGCGGCCCGCCGGCTCTGCAGTCGCGCTTGCGTCCACCAGCGTTGCCAACGACAAGTGGCCATTTTGGCTCAAGGTTCACATGGTGTCATAGCCATTGCGATTTGGTCGCACGTGTCTTGGGTCAGATCTGCAGGTGCCTTCTTTCGGTCGGAGATCAGGAGTATGCAGTCCAGACTGCGGCGGCTAGCGTCGCATCCACATTGGAGGAGTGGGTTTTTCGATGGAGACGGGAGCATGTATGTCAAACGCAGTGGACAGCATTCAGCTGCTTGCATTTCGATTGGGCAGTCTTCATCTCCAGAAGCAAGCTCGACGCTCAGTCAGTTTTGTGGTCTCTATGGTGGCTCTATTTGCGAAACATTTTACCACACGAGAATAAATCCACGCAATCGGCCTGTATCTTTGTGGACTGCCACTGGTCCTGTCATTTTCACTGCTCTTGAAGACCTCCTGTGTGGATTGACTATCAAACGGCCGCAGGCAGATCTTCTATTAGCCCACAGGCACCTTTTCCCAGGGAGACAAGGTGTTCCACTGAGCGACGCCATGAGGCAGGACAGAATTAGGTTGCAGCAGGCTGTCCGACAGGTGCGAGCCCAGGCGTGTTCGACTACTACTGCTGCAGAGTATTCAGCTCGATTTCTGACGTTTTGCGCTTCTGAAGAGTCGAAGTCCGCATACGCAGCTGGTTTCTGTGATGCCGATGCTTGCTATTCTTGCGTTGCGGTGAGACCTGGCAAGACGTATAGATACATAGTCTCGATCTCGCAGAAGAGCAAGAACTTCCTCGAAGCGTTCAAGCAGGTGATTCTGGCTGGCCGCGGCAGCAACGTGTACACATGTCCGCGTAGGGGTACCAGCTCCTTGTCTATTGCCTCTGGATGCGATGTTCAGGCTTTCTGTTCCCGTGTTCGGCCTTTCTCAGTAGCGAAGACGTGCCAGTTGGACGTGATCTTGTCAGAGCCTCCTGGAGCGATGAGTATGGAAATTCTAGCGTCCATGCATGGCAACCAAGGACCCCAAAAACGACAAGTGTCAACTCCGTTCAGCTCCACCGAAACATGCAAGATGCTGAAATGATCACCGACTTGGCCTCGGGTTTCCGGGCCGCTTCCGTGGATCTGGGCCGGGGGACCCCCTTCATGGCCGAGGCTCGCAGTGCCCATGCAGAGCCCCCTTGCTCCTTATTCGGCGTTCCTCATGGTGCGGTGGCACGGCGTCCGTGATCCTCAGGGCGTGTGTCGGGCCGGCCTCTGCGCTCACCCCCGCTCAGCTCCCACCCCCGGCGCGCAGCCGGTGTCCCGGCGTCGCTCGGACGTGTGCCTCTTCCCTCGGCGAAGGCCCTCGAGAGGAGCCTCCCGAGCCGCCCCGGCGAGGGCGAGGCGCGCACGAGGCCGAAGAGGTGCCCGGGGGAGCGGGCGCCCAACGCGATGGCGATGGCGAGGGCCGGCGGCCCTCCTCGCGCCCTCCGCCTCGTGCCGCGGGGCCTCGGCGGGCGGGCTCCCTGCCCTGCCCTGCCCGCGGCGGGGGGCGCGGAGCGCGCGCGCCTCTCGGCTCTCGGGCCGCAGCGGCCTCTTCGGCGCGGCAGGGCCGTGGCCTCGACGCCTCGCGGGTCCCCACCGGCCCCTCCAGAGGCGGCCGCCGGGCGAGCGCTTCCCCTCGGCAGCGCTCGGGCGTGCGCAGGGGTTTCTCGGCGAGGGCCCTCGAGGGGCAGCCTGGAGCATCCAGCCCCGCACAGAAGCCACGCACGCAGCCGAAGAAGGCACGGGGGGAAGGGACGTCCGAGCGACGGCGAGATGGTGGCGGAACAGCCGCTCCGAAGGATCCATGCCTGCGTCTTCCTGGTGTCTTCTTGGGTTTTTTGTCGGGATCCTTTGGGAGACAGCAAGGAGGAGGAGGAGGAGGAGGAGGAGGAGGAGGAGGAGGAGGAGGAGGAGGAGGAGGAGGAGGAGGAGGAGGAGCGCATAGCATGAACGATGTTACAGCAATAAGGCCATCCCTCCAAGTTTCCTCAGCTGTATGTATGTATGTATGTATGTATGTATGTATATATATATATATATATGTATAAGGATTTCCCCCCAAAGGGAGATGCCTCGCCAGGGCCAGAACGAGGACACGCAACAACAGTTTTGCCCAATGTTAGCGGGCGTTGAGTTGACCCCAAACAGTAAGTTACTGCATTGCATTGTGGACGTGCAAGCTACGTTTTGCAATCTACGTGGTGTAAGCTATGTGGTGTGAGTTGGGTGGTGCAAGCTATGTGGTGCAAGCTGTGTGGTCCAGCCTCGATGGACCCCCAATCGCGGTGGGCGGCAACGAGGCGGCTTCCGGCGGCGACGTGGCGAAACCTCGACGGACCCCCCCCAAGGGATGGCAACGAGGCGGCAACGAGGCGGCAACGCTGCGGCATTGGGCGGCGACGCGGCGAGACCTCGGCGGACCCCCCCAAGCGGGTGGCAACGAGGCGGCCACGAGGCGGCCGCGGCCTGCGTCGCGGCGAGACCTCGGCGGACCCCCCCAAGGGCGGGCGGCCACGAGGCGGCCACGAGGTGGCGGCGCGGCGAGACCTCGCTGGAGCCCCCCAAGGGGGCGACGAGGCGGCCACGAGGCGGCAACGGGTGGCGACGCGGCGCCACCTCGACGGGTGCCCCCCCCCACAGTGGGCGGCCGCGAGGCGGCCACGGGCGGCCCTTGACTCCGCGAAGCTTGCTGAAGGCTTTCGGCCTCTCGGGGGGCTCCGTGGGGGGGGCGCCGAGGGCATCTGGAACCATCGCGTGGCTCTCCAGGAGAATCACCTTTTGGGGCGACCCTCGGTCCTGCGCCTCGAGGGCGTGCCGCCCCTCCTTCCCCCCACCCCAGCGCGCGAGGTCTTCGCGCCCGTGCCGCCGCGCCGGGACCTGCTGCCGACCGTCTTCCGCGGCGTGCTGCCCAGCGTCGCGGCGCCGGCGGGCGACTGGGGCGAGGCCCCCGCGGCCGCCGCCGCCGCCGCCCCAGGCTCGCAGTCGGCGTCATCCAAACATACTTGTGTATCTGACTGCCCTATACAGCCACCCTTCGGGTGATCAGGAGGCTCGGGGGGGGAGGAGCCACCGTCTAATTCAATTGATCTCATGATTGATCTCACTATACATCTCACTGTCAATCTCACGATCGATTTCACAATCGATCTTGCTATCGATCTCAGCATCGATCTAGAGATCGATCTCACTATAGATCTCTCTCACTATCGATCTCACTCTCGATCTCACTATCGATCTCACTCTCGATCACACTACGGGACACCGACGGGACACCGACGGGACAGCTACGGGACAGCGATGGGACAGCGACGAGACAGCGACGGGACATCGACGGGACACCAACGGGACACCAACGGGACAGCGACGGGACAGCGACAGGACAGCGACGGGACACCAACTGGACACCGACAGGACATCGACGGAACACCACGGTGGGACAACCTAGCAATCGCCCGCCCGCGCGCACGACGAAACCGATTTACGGTGGGGAGCTTTCCGTTCCACTTCGATCTCACCCCCCAGTCTCCAATGTAGATACATGTATCTATAGGTGTTTATATGTACAGTTGTGAATCGTATGTATCTATACATCTATGTATAGACAAATGCACATCTATATGTGTGTGTGTCTTTCCTGAAAGGGTAAAGGTCGGCGGAAGGCGGCGGAAGCAAAACGAGGGCGCCTCCGCCGGCGGAAGGCCGACGGAAGCTGGCGGAAGTGACAGCTGGCCTCCCAAGAGATGGCAAGGATTTGTGGTTCAGGGTTTTCGGAACCCACTATATATGTATATGTATATATATACATTTGTATGTATGCATGCATGCATGTAGACATGCATGCATGCATGACTGCATGACTGCATGCATGCATGCATGCATGACTGCATGACTGCATGACTGCATTCACGCATGTATGTATCCGTAGCCATTTTGGCTCAAGAGGGAAGTTCTTCGCTGCGCCCGCCGCCCGCCCGTGGGAGGGTCACTCCTTGCGCGTGTAGCCGGAGGCCACATCGATGGCATTGGCAGCGGCCCCGACGCAAGCTGTGCCCCAGCCCGCGGCGATGAGCTTCGCCCCGCCGGCATCCACGGCGCCCCAGGCCGCCATGGGCTTCGCGCCCCCCGGCGCCGCGGCGCCCCAGCCCGCCGCGAGCTTCGCGCCCCATGGCACGGCCGCGGGCAGCATGATCACCCCAGCCACCGCCTACGCGCCCACGCCCGTGCAGATGCCGCCGCCGGCCGCCGCCCAGGCCGCCGCACATGCGGCGCCGTACGTGCAGCAGACGGCCCACGGCGTCCACGCCGGGATGCTGTCCCCGCGCGGAGCCCACACGATCACCACCGGGGCCCCGCTGCAGCAGTACGGCGCCCCTGCCGTGCCGGTCCTCGGGAGCGGGGCGCCGATGTACACGACGGCGGCGCCAGGCACCTACGCCAGCCCGCGGGGCGAGCCCGGCGCGGCCCTGCCTGCCACCTACGGCGCTCCGCCAGGGGCCGTGGCCGTGCCGCCGCTGCCCCCGCACGCGATGTCCCCGGTCGCGACCACGCGCCTGGTGGGCCCCGGGGGCGCGCCGCCCGCCTTCACGACCACGACGGCGGCGCCCGCCTCCTACGCTGCGCCGCCAGGCTACGACCCGGCGGTCGGCGTGCCGCTGCCCCCGCACGCGCCAGCGCCCATCGCAACGCAGCGCCTGGACGCCGCCTCGCACGGCGGCTCTGCCAGCCTCAGCCAGCCTGGCGGCTCGGCCAGCCTTCCGGCGGGCCCGGGCGAGCACGGCGGCCTGGCCGCTGCGCAGCTGGGGCCGGCCCCGGCGCAGGGCGCCCTGCCGCCGTGGTGCGCGCAGCCCACGGCGCCTCCGGCCGTGATGAGCTGGGTGCCGCCCGCTGCCCCGGGCTCGCACACCTTCCCAGCGCCGGGCCCGGCGGGCTGCGTGCAGGGCTGGGCGCAGGCGGCGCCCGCGGCCCCGCCGATGAGCATGAGCTTCGTGCCGCCGGCGGGCGCGCCCCAGGCGGCGCCGGCCCTCGTGCGGAGCTTCGTGCCGCCGGCGGGGGCGCCGCAGCCGGCGTCCGCGGCCGCGATGAGCTTCGTGCCGCAGTCGGTGGCCCGTGACCCGCAGGTGACGGTGCACCCGCCCCTGCCGCCGCAGCAGTGCGGGGCCTTCGACCCGCCGGCGCCGGGCACCGTCATCGGCGAGGGCATGACCTACCTCGGCACCACGGTGATCGTGCCCCCCACGCCGGCTTCGCGCGCCCCCGTGGCGGCGCAGGCGGGGTCGCTGCAGGCGGCGCCCCAGGCCGAGCGGCTCATGAGCGCTCCGCTGTACAGAACGACGACGTCCACGAATCCCGCCGCGCCCTCGCACGCCCCGCCGGCCGCCCTGACGGAGGTGTTCCCGACGCAGGTGGCTCGGCTGCCGCCGCAGCAACTGGGCGGAGCCATCCCGGACACGAACACGACCGTGGCTCCGACGGGCTATGCGCCGTACATGTCCGTGCCCGGCAGCTTCACTGCCCCAGGTGTGAGCTACTCCCCGCCTCTCACCCTGCCGCCCACTGACATGAACCAGCCGCGGGCGCCGCCATACGCCGCGGTCTCCACCACCATGCCAGCGGCGGGGCAGGCAGTGGCCGACGTCCAGTGCGACGCCCACACCAGCTTCTCTGCGCCCACGACGGCCATCCCAGCGCAGGCCGAGGTCCGTTCGATTCCAGCCACCGCGCACGGTGCCGACCTGCTGAGCAGCGCTCCGCGAGCAATCTATGCCGCGCCACCCACGAGCTACGCCGGGCCGGCCGCTGCGACGACAACGACGGAGAGCTACCTGCCCCCGGGCACCAGCTACTCTCAGGTGCCGCCCACCTTCGTCGGCGGCCAGCCTGCCGACCTTGCAGGCTACGCCCCCCCTGCAGCAAACTACCTGCCAGCGGCCACGGGGCCCAGCGCGAGCCATGCGCCGCCGGCCACCAGCTACACCTGGGGAGCGCACAGCGAGGCCCGTGTTCCCTCCACGCAG